GACGACGGGGGGGATGGGAAGTTGGATGGGTGTCGGAAAATGAGCCGAGGTCCGCCGTTCCAGCGAGCGACTCGCAGTAGGCCAGTCCACTGCCGCGGGCAACAATGCTGGGGGACAGGCGGTGGTATGGGCCGAAATGTCGGCCGGCGGAGCATCTGACGTACCGGGGCGCCCGGGCCACCCTTTGCACTTACTGCTCCCTGCAAAGATCTCCACGTTGCGCCGGGTACGAATGCCTCCATCGGCTCTCCACTGACTGTCCGTTATCAAAGACCCCGATATTCGAGTCTGAATACCGACCAAACCTCCGTCCGCCCTGCAGGTCCCCTGTTGTGGCTTGCCCGACCTTATTACCACATCATAGTCACGGCGTCAAAACTACTTTTGGGGACGTCGGCGACCATCTTACAAACCATATCTGTCATGCATTGCACTCTGCATCAACACTGCGGGTGAACCAGCTTACCTCAGATGGTGTGTCACCTCGACAAGCGAGGTCCCGGCCTCATCCCGGCGGGAAGCGTCAACACTGATTGCTTGGGACGAACTCAACGCGACCTCCAGCGCCCTCTACGCTCCCTGCATCGGATATGGCCGCGCGCGCCAGTCCCCATTCTGATGCTTGTTCCCTTCTTCTTGTCTCTATCGTCACCGCTGCTTGTCGGGCCTATGCACTCCAAGCGATACTCGAACAACGATTCGCTACCTTGACCTACCGGCATGCCAGAGCCTGCAGCTACACCCAGACAGGAAGCACCCTCTACGCAACCACCAATACATTGCTGACTTTAAGAACTGACCGCAGCCCAGATCACATCTACTCGTCCCCCTGATTGGCCATTGCCGGTCATCAAGATGAGAATCTAAGTCAAGCTTATGTCGAAACCCCTTGCCCCGGTCCCAAAAGTCGGGATGGCTTTGCAAAAGAGCTGTTATGGCTGTGCCGGCTCGTACGACCTGTCTTCCGGTGCAGAAGCGTGGCGTTCTTTGGTCCCCGCCCTTTGCTCTGGAATCTTCATTATCCCGCTTCTTGAGCATGATGGTTGATCTAGCTATCGGACTTAAGCGATACCCTTGGCTGAATCGTGGCGCATGTTTGCTTCATGGAATTCTCACGATGTGGTAACGTTACTCAGTCACAATTTGGATCATGAGCGAGCAAGCCTGGCAGCAGGGAATGCTCTCATTACAGCCCCCGAGGAGGTTCGGAGTTCTGCCAGGCGTCTGTGCCAGCTGACAGCACGGGAAGTCCGTTCCAAAGTTGGGTTCTCTCTGGTATCACGCACATTTCCCCGTTCCTGCATTCATCATGTATCAAACGGTTGAAGGCCGTTTCAAGCCAATCCTTCTTGAACACAATGTCGTGACTTCAGGTGCCATAGAAGTTTCACGCGCTCCAGCGTCTCGGAGAATGAATCGGAATCCGATACTCGGCTAGACATGACTTTGAGCCAGCTCTTAGGGCTGACGGGAAAAGCGGGAAGGCTCAGCCTAGGCAACGTGCAGCAGGCTGATTAGCAAGTGCTACACGTGCAGGATAACTAAGACCCGTTTCAACCAGGTGTACATCCTAACGTTATTTGTCCAATCAACCGGAGCGTGGTGGTGTTGTTGGACCAGCCTCGACGTAACCCAGCCCCAATACGGACCCTCGACAGAAGCTTACCAAGCTGCTTCTATTTTTCACTCTATGGCTCAAAGACTCATATCCACGCCATTTCGTCCTTCAAACCCCATCCAGGCGAGGGAATAATGCCTGACCAGGCTCTCAACATGTGCGGAGTGGCGGCGGACATGGGCCTCCCGCAGCAGTCGGTGCTGCTCATACCGACTTTACTCAGGCACTCACACCTTTGCCCGTTTTGCTCTTGCGTCACTGCATTGCTTACCTGCCAGAACCGTTTAATGGGAAAACGTAACATTGAGGCATCCGGCCGAGTTGACCAGGGTTGAGAGTGCTCCACGACGCACCTGCCGTCGTCTTCATCATCCTACGAGTTACATAAACAACGCCAACCCTCGCCGCTCAACTTCTGATCATCACGAGGCCATCGAATGCTCCAGAACAATCAACTTCTTCTTTCTTTGATCCTACCTACGAAGAACAAGCTGTGGCCAGACTCGCGGTACACAAGATGGAATCCGAGACGACATCCAGCCCGGGGTCAGCCAGTGGCATGACGGATTTCCAACCGCGTGCCGGCGCTACGAGGTCCAAGGCCACCATTCGAGCATCATTGGCCTGTGTTCCATGCAGGTCCAAGCATGTTAAGTGCGACTCAGCTTTGCCTGCTTGCCTTCGATGCCGCTTAGAGGAAAAGACGTGTTACTATGCCAAGTCCAGGAGAGGCATTCGAGATCCCAAAAAGCGAAGCCTTATCAACGATCCCATTGGACCCCCTTCAGCTCCATCGGAGACCGCGACATCATTTCCCTCTCCAGAACTGGCCAACTTTGACTTTCCCATCAACGTAGTCGACAGGCTACCGGGAGGTTGGTCGCTGAACAAGGCACAGTTCCCCGACCCTAGGATGGCCTCGCCAACTTCATTCTTGTTCGACCTCTATTTCACCAACTTCCACGACACACACTCGTGGCTTCTACCCAAGCCCCAGCTCCTAAGCCAAATCCGGTCTGACCCTCAGTCCTTTCACTTCCTCGCCAGCTGCATCACCTATGTGGGATCTCTCTTTTCTAGAGCCATCTCTTCGGACGAGTTGAGGGAGAAAGCGTTCAGCCTGGCTAGTGGAGGGCTCCCAATGACTCCTTGGACGGTCCAGGGGCTTCTCGTCCTAAGCGTGGCGGCCTTTGGAGAGAACCGAGTGGATTTGAGCAACGGCTGGATGGACGCGGCGGTTCAGATGGCACTTGACCTTGGAATGCACGAGAGGGCATTTGCAGATGCGGAGCCAGATCTATTCATGGCCGAAAGCTTCCGCAGAACATACTGGGCGCTCTATTTTCATGGCAACATGCGAGCGATGCGCGAGGGCTTGCCGAGTTTCACTCTCCTTGGGGTCGTAGCAACCACGGGGCTGCCTTGTGAAGAATGGGAGTATCAGTCAGGAGTAAGTGGACTGTTACCTTTCTCTGGAACGGGAAGCTGACTGCGAAAAGGAAATTCCACAACCCATATCTCTGGCACAATACGACGCCAGGGATCCCATGGACGATAGAAGCTATTCCTCGTGGACTTACTTGATCGACCTCTGCCGGCTTTGTGGGGAGTTGGTTCTCCCAATGTCTACGCTGCCTCGTGAATTATTAGCAAATACCGTCGACCGAGCCGATTCCAGACTGGTCGGATGGCTGATCAGTTTGCCCAAGTGGAAGCAACAGTTGGTCGATTCTGGTGGCGCTGTAGATATGATTCTCTTCCATGCAATGGCCTACGCTCACAGGTATGTGACTGACTCCTATCTGCTTCTGGTCCAGGCTCCTGACGTAATGGTTTCAGTTTGAGAATAAGAATGCAGCTGCCCCTCGGAGCCTTGGATCTCGGTATCCGAGATCTCTTGAGTCTTGGTCCGCTCTTCAAGACACGCGAATCACCACCGTCTCGGAATCCAGTATCTCACACTGCGCCATACCAGTGGCTCGAGTGCTCGACAGCGCTCCAAGCAGGACTTTCAACCATCGGCTTGTTCAACTTTTCGCTACCTCCAGCCAAGTACAGTCCGGCATGCATAATCGGACTACGAGGGGCTGCGCTGCCCCTACTCGACGCAAAGATGTATGGGGCAGTCCAGTCGCCCGCCTTGCGAGAGAAGCTTGACCTCCTGTTGGGCGTCTTGAAGGTTGCCGGAGAAATGTGGCCCATTGCGAAGAACATTGGTAACGAGGTGAATGACTTGCTGAGAGACATGGACGCCACGAGCCACCGTAACATGGTCCCGCGCTTTGACCCGTGTCTAGATGCCTTCATCAACGACATGACATCTTCGGGGAATGCGGAAGAGCCTAGTATGTTCGCCTTTTCCGAACCACGGACAGCGGACGAAATGCTTCACTGGAGTACGGGCTTGACTGGAACATTTCAAGTCTAAGAGAAGGTCGGCTTGGCGACTACGAAAGAAGGGGAGGTTTTTCCATGTTGTGTTATATTTTCTTCGATTTATCACGTTCAATGTTTGTTTCATGAAGGGAAAAGCGGTTTTTGTCAACGTCGAGCAATCCAAGCTTTTTGCAATTGCTACAGTCTAATATTTCAAACCCGACAGGAAGAGGAGTTATGGCGTGTCTATATATACCACAGAAACAAAAACAATTAGGAGTTTGCTTTTCAATAGGTAGTCATTAGAGAAATGCATGTTTTACAAAGCGTAACAAACATTCGATATCGGGGAATGCGCAACTGGGGGTAGTCTCTGACAAACCGGCCGGATACCAGCCGAAGAGCAAACTGGTCTGGCCTCGGCGAGCTGCTTGGCGAGGGTTTGAAGGCACAGAAAAGGTAGGGGAATGAAGCAAAATGTAGTTGAATAGGTTCAAGCAGCTAGGCCCATGCTCGAAATGCTGCTTCTGGAAGTCAGTGACGGTAGGACAGGAAATTCCATGCAATATCAGCCGAAGAAACCTTCTTTTTGTACCTGTAAGGTAGGTACCCAAGTTTCTAACTACCCCAGGTACCTACCTTAGGCAGGCAAAGTAAAGCGCGCAGGTTTGCCTCACGTCGTGCTTCTTTCCCTTTTGAGGTGTGGTGATCCTGGGCTGCTTGCCGTTTCCATTTGCACAGTGCACCGTTTCTTCAGCGCCCCACTACCCCGCGATGGGCGCCCTGTGCCAACCCGGAACCTAACTGTGAGAGTGTCCCAACGCGCCAGTTAGTGAGTTGCCCCGCCACAGGCGATAACGCCTGGCGTGCCTAAATTTCCTACCGCCTCCCCGCCGCCTTTTCCATACGAGAACCTCCTTCCGATTCGAACGTCATTACGTCGACCTCTTTGGGACCAACGAAACCGGTACCGACGTCTTGGTCGCTCACCAGGAAGACCGCAACGATGAGCTTCGCTATTGAGGTGCCCGGCGATGCCAACCCTCTCAGCCTGCAGGAGCTCTGCAGAGCCCTCGAGTCTGCGACCTCGACCGACTATGCCCGTAGACAGGCCGCTGGCCAGCAGCTCACATCATGGGAAACCGAGAAGGGTTATTTCTCCTCCTTGCAGGTAAATAGCTTCCCCAATTAGCTTCTCTGATTTGGCACCATAAGCTAACGTTTCTTACCGCAGACCATCTTCCTGGACAAGTCCCTTCCCTTCGACATCCGATTCCTGGCCGTGATCCAGCTCAAGAACGGCATCGACAAGTGCTGGCGTCTGCTCTCAAATATCAAAGGCGGCTTGGATCCCGAGGAAAAGAACCTCATTCGACAACGCTTGTTCCAGGGTACACTGGAAGAGGAGGAGAAGGGCCTCTCGCTGCACAACTCTTTGGTTACCGCCAAGGTCATTAGAATTGACTACCCTCAACACTGGCCGGATGCCCTGTCCAACATTATTGGTCTTGTCAGAGGCTCCAAGGATGGCAATCAACAACATTTGCACGGTTCTCTGCAGATCCTGCTCCGCGTTGTCAAGGAACTGGGCACCGCTCGTCTGCGGAGATCGCAAACGGCACTCCAATCCGTCACTCCTGAAATTGTGTACTTGCTTGGAGAAGTTTACACGGAGAAGTCGGCAGTCTGGATGGGATTCCTCACAAACGGACGTGGCGACGAAGATGAGGCCGACTTGGCCATGCTCATCAGCCTGATTTCTCTCAAGATACTGCGCCGCCTGCTCGTTGTTGGCTACGAGTCACCGCATAACGACAAGACGGTTCAGCAGTTTTGGACTGTGTCACAAAACCATTTTGGCCAGTTCCTCGGTTTTGTGAGCCATGACTCTCACGTACCGGCCCCTTACCAAGATACCGTAGGAAAGCACCTGTTGCAGTTTACCAAGCTTCACATCGACATGTCCGAGTCACACCCTGCCAGCTTCGCTGTTCTTCCTAACTCTCTACCCCTTGTACACGCATACTGGGACCTGGTTGCCAAATTCGCCGAAGTTTTCGAGAAGTCGGGGGGAATTCGCCAGTCATCCGGTGACTCTGGACAATCAGAGTCAAAGTCCAAGGTGGAGGGCCCCTTGCTGGAGAGGCTCGCGCTTAGAGCCCTGCTCTTGATGAGATCATGTTTGAGGATAGCGTTCTACCCAAAGCAAACCTTCAAGTACAAGAGCACAGAGGCCAAGAAGGACGAGAACGATGCTGTGGCCCTCATCAAGCAGGAGCTTCTCAAGGACGACTTCGTGGTTCAAATGGCAAACATTATCATCACACATCTCTTCGTCTTCCGGAAAGCGGATCTGGACGCCTGGGAAGAAGAGCCAGAGGAATGGGAGCAACAAGAGCAGAGTGAAGGCAATGCGTACGAATGGGAGGTGCGCCCCTGTGCCGAGAAACTCTTCCTGGACCTTCTCGTCAACTTCAAGCAACTCATGATACCCCCCCTCCTTTCCTACTTTGAGACTGCGACAAACCCACAAGCAGATATCGCTACCAAGGAGGCAGTGTACACTGCTTTGGGCTTGGCCGCACCGAACGTTGCCAATCACTTCGACTTTGATGCCTTACTGGTTTCTACTGTTGTTCAGGATGCCCAGCAGCAAGGACCTCTTTACAAAGTCCTCCGCCGCCGAATCGCGATCATGGTCAGCCAATGGGTCACTGTCAAAATCGCTGATGGTAGCAGACCACTAATCTACGAAATGTTCCGTCATTTCCTTAATCCTTCCGATGCTACAAACGATGTCGTCGTTCGTATTACCGCCGCGCGTCAACTTCGATGGATCGTGGATGAGCTTGCTTTCAGCGCGGAAGCTTTCCTCCCTTATGCCGCCGATGTACTGAATGAGCTTCTTCAACTGCTTCAGAATGTTGACATCGACGAGACGAAGCTGGCTGTTTTGGAGTCCATGCGCATTCTGGTGACGAGACTGGAGCATCATGTTTCCCAGTTTGGAGATTTCATCATGTCTAGTCTCCCAAGCATCTGGGAGAACTCTGGGACAGAGGAGTACATGATCAAGCAAGCCATCATTGCCATCTTCGCCGCCTTAGTCATGTCTATGGGCAGTGATTCTCAGAGATATCAGCACTTGATGGTCCCTCTATTGTCAGAGGCAGCAAAGACTGGCTCTGATCTCCACACATATTTGATTGACGAAGTTCTAGATCTGTGGAACTCGGTTTTGATGCAGAGCAACCCTCCTGTCTCTGCTGACATTATGAGCATAGCAGAGCTTTCCCTGCCTCTTCTGGAGTACCAGACTGAGACCGCGGCAGTAGCCCTTTCGGTCGTTGAGTCTTATATCCTTTTGGGTACACAGGCGGTCCTCGAGGACAGGCTGCGACGGCCATTTTTGCAGGCTTTATCCGGGGTCCTCGACTCCAAGAGTCGGGAACAGGTTCGACAGGGCACGGTCTGCATCGAATATATGATTCGTGCTGCGTCGGAGCTGGGCGGAGCTAATGGCACGTCGGTCATTATTCAAGATATGCTGGAGACTGGATTCCTCAAAAAGATCTTGGAGAACCTTCATAATGCCTGGGAGGCCAACCAAACCACTGGACCGAACAAGAAGGTTAGCAAGCTGAGCACCATAACAGAGCGCGACTACTTTGCGATCCTTTCTCGACTGATTATTGCCGACCCGGCGCTCTTCGTCACGATGCTGTCATCGTTTGGGCCCGTGGAACACGTCTGGGCCTGGCTGAGCGGGGAGTGGTTTTTCCATCTCGATGGTGTTGATCATCTTGAGCGACAGAAGTTGTCCCTTCTAGCTCTGACGCGTCTCTTGGAACTTCCTCAACCCATGCAGAACTTGGCTCTGGCCAAGCTTCAGGACTACTTCACACTATGGACAGGCACCATTTCCGAACTTCAGGACGGCTTGACGGATGGGACCGACTCTCTGATTTGGTCAGAGATGGAGCCCAATGATTATGAGACGCCGAAAAGCCTGAAGGAGACGGAATGGACCCAAAAAGACCCCATTCACACGGTCAACGCCATGTACTTTGTCAAGGAGCGCCTTCAAGATGTGGTCCAGCGCTCAGGAGGCGAACAGCAATTCGAGCAGGAGTGGGCCATCAATGTGGATAAGGACGTACTGCAGAAGTTTTGGAGTTTGACCCAGGTCACGGGAAGTGCATAGAGAGGGCGGCAGTATTTCTTCGCTTGTTTTCGGGTTGCGAATCGGACATATGGGAAGGGATGATTACGAATGCATGAACACAAAGAGATAGAGGGGGCGTACGCCAGCTTCCAATCAGTGGAAGCCTAAACAAGAGAATATACCACAAGTGCAAAGGTATCCAAGTTGATTTCTAAAAGTCTGTAATATCCCGCGTTGTTGCAATTGTCCGCTCGCCGCTCTACAACTTACTCTGGCCGTCCTGGGGAACCTTCACGACGACCTTGCCCCACGTGCCTCTGCTACCCAGCGCTATCAAGGCATCCGGAATACGGTCGAGTCCAACGAACTCTTCGTCTGTGAATTCTGTGCCGCGCAGCTTGCCCTCGGCGACGAGCTTCATGATTCCCTCCCAGACCTTGACCACAGTCTCCTTCTCCCTCACGGCGTATTGGCCCCAGAAGATGCCCACAAGACTGATATTCTTCAGGAGAACCTTGTTCATGGCGACCTTCTCAATCTTGCCAGCCGCGAAACCAATGATGAGGATGCGGCCGTTCCACGCGGTACACTTGGTGCTGGCGTCGACCATGCCAACGGGGTCGTAGACGATGTCGACACCGCGGCCGCCGGGGGTGAGCTTCTTCACCTGCGCGGGCCACTCGGGATCGCGGTAGTCGACGACGTGGTCGGCGCCGAAGGACTTTGCAACGTCGAGCTTGCGCGGGGTGGAGGCCGTGGCGATGACGGTGGCGCCGAAGGCCTTTGCGACCTGGACGGCGGCCAGGCCGACGCCGCCGGCGGCGGCGTGGACGAGGACGATGTCGCCGGGCTTGATGCCGGCGCGGACGACGAGGGCGCCATAGGAGGTCGGGGCGGTGATGAAGAGGCCGGCGGCTTCCTGGAAGGACCAGCCGTCCGGGACGGGGAGGAGCTCCTTCTCGCGGGCGACACACTTCTCGGCGAAGGCGCCTTGTGTTGCGCCGAAGACGCGGGCGCCGACGGGGAATTTGGCCTTGGCCGGGGCTTTCAGGACCGTGCCGGCGAATTCGCAGCCGGATGTCCACGGAAATGCTGGGTTGGGTGTGAGATGGGAGGTTTATGCATGAGACGGCAGGGTGACTTACGGGGCTGGGTTTGGTATTTGCCTTGGATCTGGAGGATGTCGAAGAAGTTTGCGGCCGTGGCGTGGACTTGGATGAGGTATTCATCGTCCTTCTTGGGGACGGGCTCCGGAAGTTCTGTTACACGGAGCTCCTTGGGAGACTGTTGATTCGAGCGTGTGAGTTTTCTCGATTATTTATGTGAGCCGTGTCTGCGTCGGTGAGCGTACCTTGACATATTCCTTGATTTGGATGCCGCGCATTGTGATGAATCTTGGTGATCTAGATCGACTACTAAAGGGCACAGGGAAAGGAGGGAGGTTCAATTGAAACTTAAGTTGACGGTATACAAAGTTGTATTTTTACTGAAGAGGTAGCCGGATGAGCTGGAGATGTCTACGGAGGAAGAATACAAGGAGGTTCAAAGCTTTAGATGTGATTTAGTGCAATCTCTCGGAGCTTACACCCAGCTGGTTGCTACCCCAGACGGACGGTCTCAGAGACGCCGAGGGGGAGGAGAGCCGAGGCATAATCGGTGGGTCGGTGTCTGAATTCCGGGGGAGAAAAGCTGGGGCTCGAGCCACACTGATGTTGCTCGCCGGCTGCCCAACTGCCCTCCCCGCCACGTTGCCGCTGTTGTGTTGGCGTCATATCAGCTACCGCACCTGCCGTGGCGTGTGGCGACGACGGTGATGGATTCGTGGCTAGTGTGTCACGGCATGGTGTTGATGAGATGCAGATTCGCACACGACGTGTCGGAACAGTGCTGTTATGGACAGATAAAATGAATGTCAATCGGGTGCTGTAGTTCACGAGACGTCCGTCAAGAACCAGCTTCCCAGGTTAATTTGCTTGAGATACCCAAGTTAGATCAGAGGAAGAATACAAAGCGTGGCCACATGCTGGTAATATTTGGCATCAGATGGCATTCTTACATGACCATCAAGATTGAATACAAAATCGATGTGGAAGGCCATGGATGACGATGGAAGCGATGACTGTGAAGCACCCTGAGGCTGCTTTTAGTTGGAGCTAGGGGTGTTCACTGCCTGCCTGTTCGACCCTGGATAAGGTACCTGAGTAGAGGTATCGTGGTAGCGAATCTGGGGCCCCTATTGCGACAAACTCAATGACCACTGTCAGATGCGACTGACGAGTTGCAAGAGTTCTGTTCGGGCTGATCTGCAATGCAAAGCCTCCAACGGGTAAGCGTGGAAGAGATAAAGAGAATGGGCGCCTGCTTATTAGGTATGTTCACAGTCCCTCAGTCGAGTCTGTGTGTTGCTGCAACGCGGACAGCGGATGGACGGGAACAGCAGCAGCAGCAGACGGTCCAGATCGCGGAACCACAGCGCCATTGGCCCACCCGAATGCACCTGTCGCACTGGAACCCTGACCGAGCCAACCCTGGCACTCCCGCCCCACCAGCGTTAGCGTGCTGCGGCAAAGAGCACCCAATTCGTGAGCTTCCCACTGGCGAACGCTGCACCGCACAGCGCCCACTGTCCACTGGACCAGTGTTGCCCCTCTCGGCTCCAGCCCACACTGCGAGTGCAAGTGTCCAATCCACCGTCACCAACCACTGACGTCCAATCTGCGACCGCAGCTACCGACCGTCCGGCCACCTACCTTTGACTGCCTAATAACTGATCCTCTTCTTCCTCCTGCCTCTGCCTCTGTCCGGCTTCACGTACCTCGTCTACCCACCTTGCTGTCTATTCTCCGAGATCCCAACAGCTCCTTCTCCGTTGGCCATCCTTCCTCTCATCTTTCTTCCACCCTTCTCTTTGCCTCTCTACCTCTCCGCGACCTGCTCACCCACGAGCAGCCACATCGTCATTGCATTCGCGATACCCCGAACTCGAAATACCTAGCATACATCCAACAACACACAAGCTCCATCTACGCAGCATCGACACTGGACAAGGCCATGGCCGACAACGCAGAGGGCACCAGTGATGCCCAGGTCACCTTCAAGGTGAAGACGGGCCAGGATAGCAACCACGTCATCACCATGCCCGAGTCGGCCACCGTGCTCGACCTCAAGACCAAGCTGGCCGGCGACGACTTTGAGAAGGTCCCCGTTGAGCGCCAGCGCCTCATCTACTCTGGCCGCGTCATGAAGAACGACGATAGCCTCGCCACCTACAAGATCAAGCCTAACAACACTATCCACATGGTCAAGAGCGCCGCCAGCAACCCCGCGCCTCAGCCCGCCGCTTCCCCCTCCGCACCCGCCGCTCCTGCTGTTCCTACCAACATGCAGGCCGGTACCGCCAATAACCTTCTCGCCGGCCTCACAGGAGCCAGATACGCCGGTCATATCAACCTGCCTAGCCGCGAGACTTTCGGAGCCGATGGAGGTGTAAGTCCTTACCTACCCAAATCTTACAATCAAACACCCCGTTGCATGAGCTAATATTATCGCTTCAGATGGGCGCCCCGCCATCCGACGACCAGCTGGCCCAGATGCTGGCCGATCCTTCGATGCTCCAGACGATGAATGCGGCCCTCGACAACCCCGACTTCATTAACTACATGATTCAGAGCAATCCTCATCTACGCAACGTTCCTAATGCCCGCGAGATCATTCAGTCACCTTTTATGCGCCAGATGATGACGAACCCGGACATGCTCCGTAACGTAATGAGAATGCAACGCAGCATGGCCGGAGGAGGTGGCAACACGGCCTTCCCAGCACCCGGCGCCACCGACACCACCCCGGCTGAAGCTGCGGCCGCTGGCCAGCAAGGAAACGCCCAGGCCAATCCATTCGCCGGCTTCCCAGGCTTCCCTGGTATGCCTCCCATGGGTGGCGGTATGGAAGGATTGGGTGATCTCAGTGCGCTGTTTGGCCCTGGTAGCCCATTTGCGCCTCCTCAACAAGGCGCGGGAGCTGGAGCCGGAGCCGCCGATGCTGCAGGCACCACGACGGGCGAGCAGAACACAACCGGAGCCACTGCTGGAGCTACAGCAAATGCTCAGGGTGCGCAAGGCGGCAACACCACGAGCCCGCCTCCGGCCAACCCCTTCGCTGCCCTTTTCGCGCCCCCTCCCTACGCGGGTCAGGGCCAAGGTCAGGGTCAAGGCCAGGGACAGACACCTGCGAACCCCTTCGCCTCTCCGTTTGGCCAGATCAACCCCGAGATGATGCAGCAGATGATGAACATGTGGGGACTTGGTGGTGCAGGCGGCGCAGGCGCAGGTGGCTCTCCTGCTCCCCCGGACAACCGTCCTCCCGAGGAGCGATACGCTGAGCAGTTGCGCCAGCTCAACGACATGGGCTTTTTCGACTTTGATAGAAACGTGGCGGCTCTGAGAAGGAGCGGCGGCAGTGTGCAGGGTGCGATTGAGCATCTTCTCAGCTCTTAATGACTGTGGAGGCATGTTATTCGGTGGAAAGTAGGGAGGTCGTGTCATTTGGCTAGGAGAGCGTCGCAAGAGGACACGCTTTAATGGTTGATAGGCCTTTTGAAAGGGAGAAGCACATACCCTACCTAGTTGCCTTGGGCCTTAGTACTGGCAGTTTCGGGGAGACAGGAAATTGACCAGGCACGACGTTTATGACTGTTCGCTTTACGTTTCTACACGGACGGCTTGGAGTGAGGATTGCTGTAATAGTAGTTCCTCGTGTTTTCACATTGACAAAGAAAATTATCATCCAGTGCGATTCACTTGGCCTGATTCGTGATGTTGTTATATCATTTAGTTTTGGGTCCGCGTGATGGCTGTAGTGACCTCCGTGGATAAGGTAGCTCTGATGGGGCGATTAGTCCACACAGCTCAGAAAACGTGCACCTCAACGAGACTAAGTTTCCTCCATCAACTCATCGGTCATCCCGCTGATACTGCTGTGTTGGAGTCTACAGGACACAACGACGAATGATTTTCATCTGAAAATGTAGCAAGAATGATTCAGGGCATTTTCTATGCAAGGTTTCTGCCCAAGGAGGGTGAGTGATGGATGTCCTCAGACCCAAATCATCGCCTAGAGCCTCATCAACCACGTCCCTCACCTACATCTTGCCGCTGACCATCTGCCACTCGACAGGCCCGCACATTGTGGCTCAGTCACCGCCGGGATGCATCACATCCGCGCCCGGCGCGACGAAGCCGCCGCTCATCGACTGGGACGTGATGCAGGAGTACATCATGCCGCGCAAGGCCTTCTTCAATCGCTACATGACGGTGCAGGACCCGGAGGGCAAGTACGCCGTCCTGGGCTTCCCGGTGCTGATCCCGCATGAGAAGTACCAGCGCAACGAGTTCATCTTCAACTTTGGCATCGTGCTGGATGTCGATGCGGACCAGGCGCCGTATGAGCCGGTGGTGCGGCGGCTCGCGGTCACATTCAAGGAGATGGAGAAGCAGAACGAGTATCTGAGCCAGGAGGGCTCCGGGGGAGGGGAGCGCAGACCGATCGAGACGCTCTTGGAGATTGTCAAGGAGGATCTGAATAATTACGGCGAGTGCATGATTCCCGTCGGTGAGTTGCTCATATCTTCTTCCGAAGCGAGTCGTTGCTGGTCTACTGACACTGCCCCCCGCAAGACGACGCCAACACAATCAACATGAAGCTCTTCCCGCACCACGCCACCCCGCCGCAGGTAAAGGGCTGGCACGTACCAGTCGCCAAGATGAAGTTCGCCGAGATCGTCGACCCGACGTGGGACCTGACGATGCAGAAGGTGGTCGCGCACATTGACGGCGTCAACGACGTGCGGCGCATCGCCTGGGCCGCCGACGTGTCGCTGGACCTCGCCAAGCTCGCGCTGCGCCACCTGCTCTACTACGACACCGTGCTGCTGCTCGACATGTTCTTCTTCGGGTCGTGCTACGCGCCGCGGCCGGGGATCCACGACTTCGTCGCGGACCGCGACGGCATCGTTGACGAGTGTGCGGCGTACGTGTGCATCCACGCCCGGCAGCGCATCAGCAACTTCATGCTCATCAAGCTGATGACGAGCTTCTGCGTGGGCAAGAGCGTGATGGAGTGGCTGCGCGGACACCAGGAGGCCGGGTTCGACGTGTTGCGGTATGTTGACGTGCGTCGGCTGGTGCAGTTTGGCGTGATCAAGGGGTGTCTTTACCGTGCGCACAAGTATGTCGTCTCGAAGCAGTACCTGGCGGCGCTGGCGACGGGGCAGGCGCGGCCCAAGGCTGGCGGGGATCCTCTGCAGAAGTATACGGACGGGTGCCACACGTTTGACCAGATCATCACGGAGAACAACCTGACGGATGCGGAGATTATGGAGAAGCTCAA